CCAACGAAGTCACTACGTCTCCCTTAAAATAATATGCTCTATAAACCAAAGGTGGAACGATGTGGACGAGTAATTTACTTTTTTAAATTAGTTATAAGATATGTTACCCAAACAGCAAATAAATTTAGGGGAACTCGTTGGAACTTTTTTTATAACTCTAGCTAAAGTAAACATTAAATTTTTTTTTAATCAAAAACACTATTTTATAAAATTTATATTTCAATAGTTCTACGTACAATTGGTTTATCAACAATTATTGCATATTAAAGTAAAAACCTGGTGCTTTATAATCCATGTTAAAAACTTTGTGATTTTACATTTGGAACCATAGGACAAGCATATTATTCTCTTAAAACTTCAGAAACATAAAATACATATTGGCAGCGCCAAAGATAAGCCAACTTTGCGATGATGCTAGAGCTATTTTGTTGCGTTAAAAAAACAAATTCTTACGGTTTATTGTAGCCTGGTCTATTACCAACCTTTTGATGACACTTGGGACCAGTTTGGAGACATTTCGTTTTTCTATTTTTGGCGCGCTAATTTAGACATTCGGCCTTATGTGGGCGCGCCCGTCACAATTAAAAATTGTGAGTAAAAACCACAAGTTATTAATTAATATTTTATAATACCTATTATTTTTATTGTGCTTATAACTTATTAAATGCATAATAAAATAATATTTTTAAATAAATTTTATAACTTGTAGTTTTTACTCACAATTTTTATTTGTGACGGGCGGGACAAAAATCCCCGAGTAACGTGGAATGACCCATATATGATATATATGTTATTCTATCTATTGCTAAATAGATTATTTTTTTATTTAATGCAATTTTCGGGAGTAATACCACGAGTGCTTAAAAAATACTGATAATTTTTATGAAAGGGAAGTAGTTATAATTCCACGAGTTTGAATAACGAGTGGAATTTGTACAAGCTTGAACGAAAATTATTTAGTTTATTTGTAAACACAAGCGGTATTTAGGAAGAATATTTGCCGAGTGAACATACCTACTAAAATACAAAAAATGGCAAATTTGTTAAAACAAAATTGACAAAAATATAACATTATATAATTAATTGTTTCGACTTTTACTTGATGAAACTCCATGTTAATATTGTTTTATTTTAATATAAACTACACTGTTTAAAAGTTTCACTATTTTATTTAAATATTTTTTTTTGTTTTGTGTTGTAATTTTACTTCTTAATATAAGTTTGAAATACCATAAAGTCAGGAAGCTAGTAGCAGCTTCTTTTAAATAATTAATTGTTTCGACTTTTACTTGATGAAACTCCATGTTAATATTGTTTTATTTTAATATAAACTACACTGTTTAAAAGTTTCACTATTTTATTTAAATACGATCTGAAGATGCTACTGTGTAGCGAAACAATTGTCATATTTAAATAAAATAGTGAAACTTTTAAACAGTGTAGTTTATATTAAAATAAAACAATAATAACATTATATATTGCAATGATAATAATTATTTTTCTTTTCACCGTGTTTCTTTTTTAATGTTACAAAAACGATTTATTTTAACGAGTTCTGTGCAAAAACGTAGAAAATAAACTGGTTTTGACGTTTTTGGTTTACTCAGGGCCGGATTTAGCATGGGGCCAGCGGGGCCACGGCCCCAGGGCCCCCTCCATCTATGGGCCTCCACCAATGCAATATATATTTATATGTAGCTTTTTAATAATAATAATAATTTTAATAATAATAATAATAATAAAAATAATAATAATTTTATTTATTGCCCAACAGTTTTCACAATAAAGGACATTCAAATAACAAAATTACAGTAGATACAAAAACAATTAGTAATATACATAAAATAAATAATAAAATTAATATACTTAAATATATAAAGTGGTGTTTAAAAAAAAGTAGACAACGTATAAAAAAAACCGCAAATATATAATAAAAAAAGAAAATTATTGACAAATATAATAATTAAATGGTTAAAAACATTGTAGTATACTCCTCAGACTAGAAAAATTAATATCACAATGACTTGCTACTTTATTAAAAGTTAGGGACATTTTATATATCGGCGACCTTACTAACATGTTGGTACGTGCCCTTGGACACTTAAATACTAATGTTTGCCTATTATTAGGTCTTGGTACATAAAAATTTAACTGTCCCAGTAAGTCACTACAGTCTATAACATTATGAATTAATTTAAATAAAAAGGTTATGCAGATTTTATCCCTTCTTACACTTAAAGATTCAAAATTAAAGGTATCAAGCAGTACCAAATGATCAAAACCCTGAGGGGGATATACTCCAAACGTTTTGTAACTTAAAAATTTTAGAAATTTACGTTGCACTGATTCAATTGATTGAATGTGGCACAGGTAAATTGGCGACCAAACAATCGAGGCGTACTCCAACTTGCTGCGTACCAATGCATGAAACAACAGCTCAAGACTCTCAGGTTTAGAAAAGGTTTTGCAATTTCGGATTATAAATCCTAATGTTTTATATGCTGATTTTGTAGTGATAGCGATATGTTCGGTAAAAGTGAGATGTGTGTCAAAATAAACTCCCAAATCCTTCATTACACTGACTGACTCCAAGCTGACCTCATTTATTTTGTAATTAAAAATAACTGGATTTACTTTTTTAGTGTATCTGCCTATTTTACATTTCGATATGTTTAAAGTTAATCTGTTTGTTTTACACCATTGACCTAAAATATTAAGATCATCTTGGAGATTAAGACAGTCATTTATAGAAATGACTCGAGAGAATATTTTGAGGTCATCAGCATATAAAAGCTTCAAAGAGTTTAGTTTTGGGGGCAAATCATTGATAAAGATCAAAAACAGCAAGGGACCTAAATTGGATCCTTGTGGAACGCCAGAACTGGACACAAAGTGTTGCGAATTAAAGTTATTATATGAAACAAATTGTTTTCTGTCTATTAAATAGGACTGAAAGAGTTCCACAAGAAAGCTATCTAAACCAAAGCTTCTTAGTTTCTGTAACAATATGTAGTGATCAATCTGATCAAATGCTTTCTGGTAGTCAGTGTATATAACGTCGAGTTGAGAACCTTTATCCATTGTTTCACAAGCATATTGTGTAAATGAAGCCAAGTTGGTTATCGTGGATTTTTTTTCAACAAACCCATGTTGAAAAGGAGAAATAAAAATTTTCAGTTGACAATATAGTTTGGAGTAAATTATCATTTCAAATATTTTAGCGAAGTTACAAAGTATAGAAATTGGTCGATAATTTGTTATACAAGATGGGTCTCCTTTTTTTAACACAGGTACAATTCTTGAAATTTTCCATATGTTCGGAAAGGTTTGACATTTAATTATTTTGTTAAAGATTAGTAAAAGAGGTGAAACAAAGGCACCACAGCAATCTTTTACAAGAAAGCTGGGTATGTTATCTACCCCAGCAGTCATTTTGTTATTAAGTCTCTTAACACAACCAATTATATCACTTTCATTTATGCAATCCAATGTAACGTGGCTAAAACACAAATCTGAATTCACATTAGCCAAAGGAAGTGATTCTATATATACACTTTTAAAAAAGTCGGCAAAGCCATTTACTATATCATTAGGAGTTTGAAAATCTTTATCATTGTAGCTTACCCTTCCCGGAATACGCGAATATCCTTTTTTTGATTTAATATATGACCAAAATGATTTCGGTTCATTTTTTAAATTTGATTCAATTTTATTTATATATTTCTTATAAGATGTTTTTATCTGTTTTTTTACTAATGTTCGCGTGTTTTTGTATAAGTCATTATACAAACCACCCAATTTTTTATTTTTCTTGTAGTATTGGTCTTTTTTTTTAATGTTTTTAATTATTTCGCTGGTAAACCAGGGAGGGTAGGTACGCTTTATAGGTTTAATGGTTTTAATAGGAATACATGTATCAAATAATTCGTAAATAATTTTATAAAACTTATCACACAACATTAACATCATCAATTTGTGACAAAAAAGACCAATCTAGTTCCAAAAACATACTATACAGTAATAGATAATCCGCTTTCTTAAAATTATAGGTTTTTTTCTCTATATTAATATTAAAGTTTATAGGTACAGCTAGATTAACACATATATTTAAAGGAGGATGGTAAACATCAATATTAGTAAGTGGGCTTTCATTTAAAGAAATTATACACTGCATATTCGAAAGAACCAGATCCAAAAGTTTATGATAGCTATTTTTAATTGTGTTAAACTGAGAAAAGTTTAACAATTCACTAAAGGTGGTTAAAGAAAAATATTTTGGATCAGTATTATCCATATTTATGAAATTAGAGACGTTGAAATCACCTAGAATAACAACATTTTCAGTTTGTATACACTCTAAATCAGATAAGAGTTCAAAAAAAGTTTTTAAATCATTAACCATAATCTTTGGTGGAATATATATAACAATTAAAGTTAATACTAAATTAGACAAGTACAGCTTACAACCTACGATATCTATACATGAAATAGTGTTTATTACACTGCTAAAGTCTAGTTCTTTTATTTGAAAATGATTGTTCACTGCAATTAATACGCCACCACCTCTAAAACCATTTGACACACTAAATCTTCTATCACAACGTAACACACTGTATAAATCAAAAAACAATTCAGCATTATTAACGTTTTCAGTTAGCCATGTTTCTGTTAAGCAAATAATTTCGTAATCACAGTCACTCACTGCAACTGAGAAATCACAAATTTTTGTATTTAATCCTCTAACGTTTTGATAGTATATATTTATTTCTTGTAATGAAGTTGGTGATAAAGAGTTGGGCATTAATTGTTTAAATTATCTTTGACAATCGTTGGAACATCGTTTATATATTTTATTATAACACTTTCTCCCTTTTCTTTTCTTTCATCTAGCTCTTTTTTAATTAACCTATAAAAGTTATTTTGTTTTTTCGTTTTGTCTCTTAAGATAGAGATATTACGAAAGTTAGAACTATCTTTTAATTTATATGCATTTTTTAAAATTACAAAAACGTCAGCCTCTCTGGAAAAACAAAGTTTAAGAGGGCGAGTTTTGTTTGTAACATATTTACCCAGACGAAATGGTTGATTCTCAATTCTGGTTTCAGAAGATATATGGGATATGAGATCTACAGCAGTTTGCTTATCTTGAGCTAAGCGTTCGGTATTATTGTTGCCAACAGGTTCTGGAACATTGAACAATATTATATTTTTCCTCTTTTTTTCGCGAGCCGAAATTTCTGCAATGATGTCTTCAACAAGTGTTTCTGGTAATACTTCAGTAGATTTAGTTGAGCTTTGAGCTTTTAGTTCCTTAACTTCCTCCTGAAGAGCTATTATTGCAGCTTTCAATGAATTTAAATCGTTGCCCATCTCTTCACAGTTTGAATGAAACGAATATGAAAAAAATTGTCGAAAAAAACAAAAAATTGGGTCGGATATACCGCGCGAATCCTGGAATTTTCAATTAATTTTTTGTAGATCTAACTCTAATTTTTAGAGGATTTTGTATCTCTTATCCGCTTGCAAATCAGAATGTAAATTATAACACTCAAAGTTTTGGCGCGCGAAGACATTTTTATATAGTTATGACTCATAACAATTTTAAGCAGTTGCTCCTTTAGTGCTTGTCGTAACGTTTTAGTAAATACAGGTAAACAGACAATTACTTATAATCTAATATTAAAGTTAGTTTTTGTCCCAGATTTTTATTGGTACATTGGAGTGTTGTGGAATATTTTCCGGTGTTTCCGAAATCAAAGTAGCTAGAATACCGACATTAAACGTACACCGGGTAAAAAAAATCCTTATTTAGCAAATTTTTATATTTGTTAATTGTATAATATTAAATGGTCGCTTAATGGGGCGGGGGGGGGGCAATGGGGTGGGGTCGGTTGGGCTGGGTTGTTGAGTTTGGGTTGGTTTGAGTAATTCATACTGACATTTCATTAATTTTGTTGTTAATTGTATTTCAATCACTTAATTAAATTTTAATCAATGTTTATACAACTTGAAAGTTAGCTTAATAATTACATAAAATTATGGTTAACTCTTGATAATAATTTTATTATCAAGAGTTAACCAGCTGTTTACCAACTGTTATACAACTGGGTCTGTACCAATTTAATCTCAACTAATAAATCCGAAAATTTACCATCAGCTGGTATAGAAACACGCATGCGCACAAACCTGATGTACGTTTAATGCCCGTCAGGGTTGCCAACTCTACCAACTTTTCGGTAGATCTACCAACTTTTAGTGTCTTGCTCAAATCTACTACTTTGCAAGAAATATCTACCAACTTTTAAAGTTTTTAATTTTTTTTAATTAAATCTTTCTAAAAGTGGTAATAATGCGTTTTTTTAACTTTTTCCATCTTTGAACATATACCAAATTTCATTGTATACATATAGCGCGTTACTGTAACGCCCTCTATTATCTATTACATTTATCAACAACCTACACCTACTGAAAAATATTATAATTTATTCAATCAATATATGTATTCTTTTAAAAAATAGATTAACAAAAAAGCTATACTTTTTTCTTATATTTTTACCTTTTTTCCATTTTCAAATTTGTACCCTTTTGCTTCTAATCCCTTTAATTATAAATATATTTATAATTAAATTAGAAGCAAAAGGGTACAAATTTGAAAATGGAATAGAAAAGAGTCAAAAAATAAAGAACGAATTATCAAATTATGCATACAGTTGGGTTGTATACTTAAATTAATTAATTAAATATTTATAATCTGGAATTATTAAATTTCGATATACAAGCCCTAACACAAAAATATTCGGACACTTCATAATTTATACAGAAATATTTTTCGTGAATACTATCTCAAAATTATTAGAAGTTATAAAAAATTCAGCTTATTTTGGCATATACCCCTCGAAGCAATTTTTATTTTTAAAAAGTTTTATTTTTGCTTTTAAGAAAAGGCTAACTTTTTAATTTTTTTTTGTATGAGTAAAAAAAGTTATAAATGGGCCCATTAAAAAGAACATAAAATATTATACAAACCCTGAAAATTTAGTAAAAATTGTATAAATAATAAGAAAGTTATAACGATATATATATCTGCAAAATCTCCCGTTTCCTAAGAAAATTTCAAAAACTCTTTAAAAATAGCATTTTTAAATTACTTATACTTTTTTATAACTAATTTATTTTTTACCAAATTTTCAGGGTTTGTATAATATTTTATGCTCTTTTTAATGGGTCCATTTATAACTTTTTTTACTCATACAAAAAAAAGTTTAAAAGTTAGCCTTTTTTTAAAAGCTAAAAATAAAAGGTAAACTTTTTAAAAATAAAAATCGCTTCTAGGGGTATATGCTAAAATGAGCTGAATTTTTCATAACTTCTAATAATTTTGAGATAGTATTCACGAAAAATATTTCTGTATAAATTATGAAGTGTCCGAACATTTTTGTGTTAGGGCTCGTAGTATACAACCCAAGTGCCTATAGGCATGATAATTATAATAATTTTTAATTTTTGACTTTTTTCTATTCTTATTTTGAATATTGGCAATCTGCTTTATTATTGTTTTTTTTATAAAAATACTTTAAATATTTTGTATCCAAAAAATAAATTCAAAGTGCCAGATTTCTTACTTTGGAGTCTCTGGAATACTCGAAAAATATAGGTGATAGATCAACCAACTTTTCAAAGTAAGATTTGTTGGAAACTACCAACTTTTAAAATTATATCTACCTCCTAGACCGATTTTTGGGTTGGCAACACTGCCCGTACTCCCGGTGTATTTCTAGTCACGGCGTTCCGAAATACTGTTTCGTGCTTTTCTTTGGACAAAAGATTGTTTTATTGTTCGTATTATTCCAAATATACAGGGTGATTCAAGGTGACAAAAGCTCAGGGGAAATTCCTCTCATCAAAATATGAAAAAAAGTTCCTATTAACACGTGTCCGAAAATGCTTAATTATCGAGATACAGAATGATTCGTTTAAAAAAAATAAGTTTTTTATTTATATCTTAAAAACGCTTTGGCCGAATTTATTAAAATGTATATGGTTTATTAAATAATGATTCAAGGATAATAAAAAATCACGTAAATTTCCTCTAGCTTAAAAATTTACCATGAGTTTTAATTTTCCAAGTATCAAAATTTTTAGAAATATTGAGGGCCCCCACCAAATTCAGCCCCAGGGCCTCAAAACTCTTAATCCAGCCCGTTTACTATATAAACAAACCGTTGTCATAGGAACGTGGTATTTCCAATTATTAATTTAATATCTGCAGTAGGTACCTACAATGCATGAGTAAAATATCCTGACAGTAAACAACAAGCATTTCTGTGGCAACAATTGTAACCAAATAATTATTTAATTAATTATAATTCATTTATCCACATTGACAAGCTTGGACTTTATGGTGTTTTTGTCACGGGTTGAAGTGGCTTTCGGGCTTGTTTATAAAGTGAGGTTTAATTCGTCTAAAAGGTTTCAAATTTCAAATTAATATTGGATTCAAATATATTTTTCTTCGTCGTAAACTATAGGATGAAACATGTTTATTAAACTTTTCTAGACACTCGTTTATTTTAACTTCGCTTTCAAGCTTTGCTATTGTCTAATTTTATACACAATATACTATTATCTACTCCTACATTTAATATATACTAATGTATTAAGTTACTGGCAAAAACTAAGGTATAAACCCTTTAACATATGCCAGATTGGGAAAAGCGGGGTTTAAACCGCTTGACAATTGTCAGATGTTATAACATCTATAGATAAAATATCAAATCAAATTAACTTTAAATTTCAAAAAAACATAACTTTGCGTTCGTCATGGATAAAGTATGGTTTGCAATTCGTTTTATAAATTTCTTAAGATTCCTCATTTATAAAAACTCGTTTGTCCGGGCTAATTTTTTTTCAATGGAAATAAAACAAAAACAGATGGGAAAGGACACAGAAATGGAACGGGAACGGGATTTTTATTTATATGTATAGATGACACCTCTTTTTTCCCTATTATAATTAAAATATTTTTTTTTAAACAATGACACAAATCCAAAGTTAATAAATCGAGATTTGGCACACATCTTTAAAAACCGCGACATGCATTAAACATTTAGACTGTATACAAATACAAATCCCACAATAACTTTAGATATTGTCAGAGCAAAGATAAAAACAAATCTTCTTTTAACAAAGCATCAAATAAATCCCAGGATTTTCTTTAAAGTCTGCCAAACAAATGAAAAAAGGACCGAATTCTCGCGCCGAATTTTTATCGCATGTTATTTTGATCCCTAAAATCTGATGAACTGATTACTAGAGCTAGTAGTAGCAAATAAGTTACATTTTTGCGTAAGATTAGTTTAAAGTCGACTGATATTTTTTATAAACCCGGCTTCCCGCCTTTTTTAAAGTAAATCAAATTCTTATAAATTTTTTGTTTCAGACCTTTTTAATATTTGAGATACCAGACGTTCAGCTATAACAAAAACTTATACAATTAGATTAAATATTTAATGAAAAAACAAAATTTCTTTTAAAATAGTTTAAACTAATTGTACGTCAATAGATTATGGTCAAATATTTTCCAACAAATTGGAAAGTATTTGTATTACAAATAGTAAATACAAATTGTAAAGTATTTGTATACAAATCAGGAAATACAAATATAATTCCCGTTTGAAAACAGATGAAAATATATTGGTTTAAGAGAAAAACATTTCCACAAATAGACAGTAAACGAAAAGGTACTTTTTGGTGCAAAATTTGCTCTATAAAGAACTGTCAGTTGTAACTATTTCACTTTAAACCTAAAAATAAGGCTGCTCTGGAATGTAAATGTCAAATCTTAAAAACACCTGTGTTCAGTACATTGTGTCAAATTAATATAGACAGATAACAATTCAACAGCGCTTAACCTTCGGATGACCAAGGGGGGTAAATTTTAACCCCAATGTATATTTTTCTTGAATAAACTCTTAAATATTTTTAATTTTTAACCGATTATTTTTTTATTTGACTATATTATTATGCCAAGTATCTTTATATTTTGCATAAAAAAAATTTACAAATATTTCTCATCAAAAAAGTATTTTTAAAATAAATATGGTATTAACAGAATATTCAGAAGATCCTGAAGATGCAGAGCCGGCTGAAAATCCCAAGAAACGTGGCCGATGTAAAATTTGCTGTCGATCTTCCGACAGAAAGTTTACAACGAAATGCGATAAAAAAAGCATTTTGTCTGCAAGGAACATTCGAAGATTAAAAAACATACTATGTAATACTTGTGGTTTCTAGTGCATTTTTTACAAATTTCATTGCTTCCTTTATTAGGTTTAGACTAATATTTTTACTTTTTTGGTTTAGTTGGAATAAAAATTTGTTGTACTAATGTTTGTTTTCATTATTTAATATAAAATATAACATTAAAATAATGAAAGCATGTTTTCGTTTACTAAAATCAGGAGGGGTCATTTTTAACCCCCCTTGGTCATCCATGTATAAAAAAGAGGTTGGTCACCCGAAGGTTAAAACACAGATTAAAAAAAATTATTCGTATTTACCATCAAAATGCTCGTCAAACTTTTTGCGAGTTGCGAGAAATATAAGGTTTATCGTTTAGTTTATAAGTTAGAAAAAACTGGTTTACTGGCAAATAAGTCAACTTTTGTGCATCTAAAGGGTCATGTGAAATCTCAGGTTTACAAAAATAAGCCACGAACAATTCTCGACCTTAAACGAAACATTAAACGCACTATTCAAAATATACCACGCGATATTTGTGAAAGAATAGTAGAAAATTGGGCCTCCAGAATGCATTCAGTCAGGCAAAGTCGACGGGGAGATTTAAACGATATTATTTTTAAAACATAATGTCATCGATTGTTCTTTAAAATATAATAAAGATTAAAAGATTATAACATGTAGTTATTTTTTTATCTCATTTGAAAGTTCTGACGCTCTAAATGAAAAACCCTTTAGTAACAGGGCATGTATAATATATATAGTATATGGGAAATTTTACGTTATTTTTTATAATTTTTTTATTCAAAAACAAAAAAAATTACGCCAAATCAAAAGTGGGGGATTTAACATGTAATTCCCCATATAATCTGTGGTAGGGTATAACAATTATAACATAATCACAAAAACAGTTTCATTAGTTTTTAACAGTCAATTACAGGAGCGCCTATCAGTGAGACTACAATCTGATATTGCCAGAAGTGCTGTAAAATTTATAAACCTTACTTTTACTTAAAATGAAATATGTATTAAATGAAATGTGTATTTATTTATGGGTGAATCTCACGAAATGTCCCCCGATGGTGTCATATTTAATAAAACCAAATGAGTACACTTTTATTGTGTTTTGATCTTTCATAATTAAGTAGATAAGCTCAGGTTCCAGATTTTTAACCGCAATTAATTATTTTTTTAAAATTTTTTAAAAGTCTAAAACCTATCCTCCGTGACTGTTATTCTTTCTAGGTTAACCTATATGTTTTCAAATATCTGAGGTAGTAAAATCATACTAAAAATATCAGTTCACTAAGTAAATTAAACACATCCAAAGCAATCGACTCAAATATAAAATATTATTAAAAATTAAAAGAAATAATTTTTATAACCATTTAAGTAGGTGTTACAAAAATTGATTCTATCCTCCGTGAATATGTTTTTTCTTTAAATTTTATGCAACGGATGGCGCTTTAATCATGTTAAATAAGCAAAAACCTCTGTTTACGACATTATAGATATGCATGTAATTCCTGAAGGTCAGTTAGAATAGAATAGAAAACTTTACTTCATCTACTCCTATTGCATAATATTGTTTTTTGTTGGGTAAATAATGATCAACATTATAAATTCCCTGCATAACAACGGTAATAATAAACTCATTATTCAAGTTGTTAGGCATCAGTGATTCGCCCGTTTCAATATTCACCGTGATTTTAACCAAAAGGATTTTAAATTGGGAGAAGGCTATATTACCATTTAAAATTGGTAAAAAGTGAGGTTAACATTTGACAGATGTCAGATTTTATTTATTTTTTGGAAAACCATTGCACTCGAGATTATGCGCATTATTCACGCCAATGATTTAATTCTCTCGTGGGGACTCGAGACGCAAACATCATCCTGGTGAATAATTATCTTTCGTATAATAATAATCTATTAAAAAATGCGTTTTTGTAAGTTATAAAAAGTTTTTTAAGAAATGATTATTTAAAAAGTCCCGAATGTTCCGGGATAATTTACAGGGTGGTCCACCTGGAATGGCAAATAGTAACGACAATAGAGATGCCAAAACTGCAGCCGAAAAAGTGTAAAACTTCTTTATTTAGCAAACGAAGAGGTTTTACTAAAACCTCTTCGTTTGCTAAATAAAGAAGTTTGAAATTGACCAATGACAGTAGAAGTTTCAAATATAGAATAAAGGTGTAAAGTTACACTGTAAACCTTAATATTTTGGTTATGTATTAAGCGAGGTATTAAGTCACTAATACTGACAAGCTTTGTCAAATACAAATATTAGAAGTGGTTAAACTTTTGATTTGAGCTTTTTTCAAATAAAACGAGTGTTGTAATTGCAATCATTTTAATTTATTCGGCGACATGTGTTTAGTCAACATTTTTTTCAGAAAAAAAAACGAAAGAAAAACTAAACGAAAGTTTCAAAACTCCTAATTTTCGTTTTTGACAAAGATTGTCATTCTTGTCCAAATGTCAAGGCTCGTTTACACCATTTTGTTTATTTGAAACCACAACTATGATTGGTCAATTTCAAACATCTTTATTTACCAAACAAAGGGGATTTTTACTTCTTCGGCTGCAGTTTTGGCATGTCTATTGTCGTTACCACACCGATAGAAAGTTTGGGTTAATAATAACCAAAATGACTAATTAGTAATAAAAAAATGATTGATAATCCGACGTAATAAATATTGGTTTTATATCACTCTGTCATTTGATATAAAGGTTATAAAAAGATAATGATTTATGAAAAACCCAATGTATTTATATTAAATTAATGTTATATTAATAAAAAAAATATATTTAATTTGTGTAGTGAACCAAATTTGTTTTTATTAAACGTAAGATTATTCGAAAATACCAAATTTGTTTATTTGCATATACTCAATTTATATATTATGTATTAAAGGACCCCCTCCCCCCACGTAACAAATGGAAAATAAAAGCAGTTAATTACAATAAAATAGGTTTATTTATGCTTGTTCTGATGTTAGGATGTTATGATTCTCGGCTGTGGATATTTTATCAATAGTTAAGACTTCCGCTGTACCATAATTGTTGGAGACTTTTGATGTCCTCAATGCAAAAAGAAGTTAAGGATGGGTATTTAATATACATTTTTTATTACTATTTATAACAGTATGTTAATAATAAATATAGGTATGTTAAAAAGTAATTAGAAGCCATAGCTAAAGCGGCAGCCAATGAAAAAGATTTGTATTTATTTGATTACTTTAGGTAAAAAACAATTTTACTAACCCCAGAAAGTCTCTTTGGCGCTTGCTTCCTTTTCGATAAGCGTTATCCATATATAAAATAAAACTCGTGTCGGTCGGTCGGTTTTTCTGAAATAATTTCCCATCCTAAAACCTCAAACCTTAGTTAAGAAGCATAGCTTCAAAAATAAATCAGACAAATATACTTGATAGTCTGTAAGTAAAGTGAATAATCCTTAAACATTGTTCGAAAAAATATTCGAAGAAGAAAATTTATATCAAACATAAATAATGAAAATAAGGAAACGAGACAGGAAGCATACAGGAAAAAGTGATATGTTTTTATAAAAAGTAAGCAGAATATAACTGCAAGAGGGTAAACTTTACATAGTCCATTGAATTTAACTTTTTTGTGGTAAAATTTATCGTATGTTTGGCTCGAGGAATTGGTTGAAAGGAAACGGGAAATACAACAATTGGAAATGATTTGACTTAAGTGTGACCAGGTCCAAAACTTTAAATTGAATGAAACTTTAAATATTATAACGACCATCCCATATTTCAAAATTTATACATGTGACGCGATCCAAAAACTGATTTATGAGATTATCAATATTTTAAGTAAAGTGGTAATTTGTTTATCTAAACAATTGACATTGCTATTATTTTTAAAGTCCAGCGTTACTACTTAAACTCATATGCCAACTTGATTTTGAATACTAGATCCCTTTTTTGGATCGCGTCACATATGTAAAATCTCGAAACAACATTTACCACACATCTATCGAATTGGCTTGTTAAACAAATTAAAACTCCAAAATTCTTACTTTTCTGTAGGTCAATATTTTTAAATGCATGTAACATACGCATTAATATAAAAGAAGCATTAAGTGTCAAATTAGTATAATTTAAAAAATCATTTATCAGAGAATCACTAAAAAGGAAAAATCTGCTTTAGTTTTCTGGAACTTGAAAGTACGCTTCAATCTTAATCTTAAGTAGATTCTTTCGATTAAAAGAACAGAGTGAAGTTAGCTTAATTAGGGTTATATTGAATTCAATATTTGGCTAGTGGCAACCAAGTTGTTATTGTCGCTCTCTGGTACGAACTTACAAAATATTATATACATATAGCATATTCTGAAAGATAAAATGCTTTAAAGTTTTAGTCTTTTCCTGGTTTTCCTAAAAATCATTTAAATTATCAATTCGCCTGATTTTTTTTTAAACAATTCCACCTGCAAACTAGTCACCATTGAATAAGGCTAGCAAATAAATAAAATATGATCACGATAAGCGAGAACTTTAGAGCGAAGAAATGGCTTACGTACAAAAATTAATAATAATAACAATTTATTTTAATAACAACATAATAACCCTTATCTATAATGTATATCTGGAACAAATAAATGGCAAGGTATTTTTTCTACCATTTTAATTACGATCTAGCAGTATAGCTGCGATTGTAGACTAATGTCCACCTGACATTAATTGTCTGAAAGCTTAACTTTATAAATAATAATCAATTATGAAATATTAAAAATATATTTTGGATAATTACAATGATCAAGTTAATTTAAAATAGTAGTTTTAGTTAAATGTAAGCCAGAGTTAAACTAGTTACGCTTAGGGACGGTTTATCAATGTACAGTTAAAGTTGCAGTTGGTTATCTGGCAGATAATCTCCATGGAAACCATTGTTTTCACAACGATCGATATGGAATTTAGACTAACTGGAACTAAACCAGAGATTGATAAACCGGCCCTTAACTTAATAATTTTGGAATCAGCTACTACAAAATATTTTTATATTTATTTTTTTATTTAAAAAAATTGCTTAATACACAAATATTTTGTATTGATCCTAAATATATTATTTTTTAGTTGAGTACTAAGTAGTAGGCCTATAACTCATTACTAATACTTAGAGAATGATTAATAATTATTAAACTATTGAATAATTATATCAATCCAATTGCTAATTATTTGAATATTTAGTAATAAAAGAAAAACATATTTTAAACTATTTAAAAATGTACTATTTAGAAAAAAATTAAAACAACGTTAATTTTATAAATTGTGTACTCCCGATTCCGTCCCGTTCCTGTACCGTTTTTTTGCTCAGTTCCTGTTAAAAGTTAACATTCCTATGCTTTTTATTTCGTTTAATATAATATAATAAAATATCCTTAATTATACATAATTATACTCATTTAAAAAAATCAACAAAAAAACATTTTGAAATCATCTAAAAAAAATCCAAGGGGCACGTGTTCCTTTTTATCATTTAACCTCAAATTTTAAAAAAAATTGTATTTTTTTAATTTAAAACTGATGTGGGGGTCCAGCCCAATTGATTTTTTAAATTTATACAGGGTGTTTCCTAATGGCATGCTCCAAAACTTGAAAATTAAATATCTTTGAAATTTCACCTGATACAGCTAAACCAGTGTTGCCAGATTCTTTATACCAATTTTCTTCAATTCAACCTTAAAAATTCTTCATATTTCTGCAGAGATGTAAAACGTCATTTCGTCATTAGATAAAAAAAACTTTTGAGTTCTAAAGGAAATAAATTAGGATTAGGTATTAATAATAAAAAAATATTTTTAAAAGTCAAATATCTTTTATGGTATGGTATGGTATGGTAACAGCGGATAAAGTATTACAAAGTAAAGAACATTAATGATGATTACAGACAGAATAAAAAACTATACCTACACCATGATTTAAATCATAATCCCAGGTAGCACCATTGGACACAATGGACACAAATCGTCACGGTTTCGTCACGTTGTGCTACCTGGGATTAGGAATGATATAAATTATTTGATTTCATTAAATTCAAATGTTTTTTTGTGATAGACATTTTTGCCGAATTTGTTCCTGTCTCTTTAAAATGGGAACGCAATACGCAAAGGGAATTTAATGTATTTTCCTGAAGCCTGTTCCGTTTTTTTGTTTTTACATCGTTCATTATTGAAAACACCCTTTCAGCTTCGGCATTTGAATGAGGCAGTGAAAGTATGAGGAATGCTAAACTACCAATGTTAAAAAACAAACTTTTATTGTTAAAGTCTTTGGTTTCTCTTATTTTATGCCAAAATTTAGAAATTGGTAATTCCAGTAGTTCAACCTTCTCTTCATCACTGAAGTGAAATTGAATATTTCGCCACTCTGTTGCAATTTCATTTTCTTTATCTATGATTGGCTGAAATTTTGATGTAACCTCCAACAGTTGCTGGCATTCCTCAGGCCTCTCTAATGCCAAAGCAATCTTTGGTGTTATAAACACTAACTGATTAAAAAATTTATCTTGCATAGGTAAACGGTTCTGCATTTCTCTACAACTAACTATATAAAACTCTAAACATTTTAATCTAATTTTTTCTTGCACGTTTTTTTCTAAATTTAAAATGAATTGTTCACAGTCAGGCCCTAAAAAAATTTTCCATATATCGACAAAATTACTTGGCAGATTGCAGTTAACATTAATTTTAATTTCAATTGTTTTAATAAAGTTATTACAAAATTTGAAAAAAATACGCCTGCTTTCTGCTGCTAATTGATGAATAAGAACTGTTTTGGACTGAAAAAGTGCGTTAAAAGAATTAAGAAAATTAAGAACATATTTTAGGAACAAAAGATAGGCCTTAGTCTCGCTACAATTTAAAGCTTCTAGGATAAATTGGGTTTGTTTAAGATGGTCCTCAGTAGAGGCCAGTAAGAAAAAGTGCTGTAAAGTAGACCACATTTCTAAAACCCTTTCAATACACTGATGCAGACACAGCCACCTTGTAGAAGAAAGTTTCAGAATTTTTTTTTTTGAATCATTTAAATACTCCTGTAATTCGGTCAGCTGAGCAGATCGTTTACCACTAGCGGATACATATGAACTTAAGGCGCGTAATAAATCCTCAGGAGTTGCAGGTAAAACTTTGCATGCAGTACTTGCTATTATAGCTGCACTATGGCAAATACATTTTAATACAATTAATACTTTTGTGTCAGCCATAAGTTTTGTCATAAAAGAGTTGTGCTTTCCCAACATTACATTGGCTCCATCAGAAGCTAACCCAATAATGTTAATTAAAGGAATATCACATGCTATAAAATATTGTTTAAATTGTTTATATATATTTTCTGCTGTGGTATCAGTCGCATCTAATTTTAACATTTTTAGTAACTTAGTTGTTAACTTACTTGATTCTGGACAAATATATCTAACTAAAATACATAAGTATTTATCCATACTTAAATCTGTGCTTTCATCAACTAGAACGCTAAAACGTATTACCTTTAAGACTGAAATTAGTAGATTTGTCTCCACTTTACATAACACATTGTTAATTACTTTAGTTGTTTTAGTTCTTGCAAGTGATATTCCTTTAACAACATCAGGTTTGGTACAAGTGGCTTTAATTAATTCTACAAGATCATCAGCTACAGAAATAGCAATATTATGCTCTGCAAAAAAAGCACTAATTCGAATCTCGGTTGACGCAATTTCTTCCTTTATTGATGTTGCACTTTGGGATTCTTTAAACATGCTTTTAACCGATGTAGTACATTTTCTTGCTTTAACTTTTGCTACATGCTTTTTTGAATTTGCATGTTTTACAATTTCTTGTTTTCCACCTCTAAGTGAAAGTATTGCATTGCACCAAACACATTTAAATTTTGTATCTTCACTGGGCACTTCACAGAGCCACCCTGTAAACCCGAAAGAATTTTAAATATAAACTAATTAATTCAATTTTATAACTGCTTTACCTTTATATTCTTCCTCATTTTTCCAATCTGGATGAAATTTTCTTTTAAAAACAGTTTGTTTTTCGCCCTTACTTAACTCCATTCGATATTTTCGTTTTTTTGTTGGTGTATTGTTTCTCCCACCGAAACTAGTAGAAGCTTGCTCCGAATGTTCGAGTATTTTGGAAAATCTTAAAATAAGATACAAAATACTTAATTATAAGTATAATAATTATTATTTGCTGTGACAAAGGCACTCATTTAATTAATAAATATGTATACATATTTGAAATTGTAATATTTACCCTTGAGAATCTTCTTCACTTGAACTCATTATAAATAAATCTTTCAACTCAATACACATGCAAATCCATAAAATATAATATACTAAATAAAATATACCTAGGTTAACATAAATTCACACCAATCATATGGGCTTCCCCAGTTGCCCTATAAAAAGCGCTAAATCAGCCAGAGATAAAGAAGGTAGCTGTAGCACCAGTGATGCAATTCGAGTTATACCATTTTACCGAGAGATGTCAGAATGCATACGAAATAAATAAAATATTTAAATCATATTACAGTTAAAGAATTAAATATTCTAGAAAATTTTATGAAAAAAAATATGTAAATTTAAAAAATTCTTCATATTGTAGTGGTTTTTGTAAAAAATTCTTCTTTTCTTTATTAGCTCTCAAAGCAGGCTAAAATTCTGCATATTGAAGAAAATTCTGCAGTTCTGGCAACACTGAGCTAAACCAAGCACGAATTTGTAATCCACGACCAAAAATTAAGTTAAGCGTTTAGCTGTGATATTTTCACCTCCCTACAATGTAATAAGTAACTGTTTCTAAAATAAGTGGTATTTTTATTAATAGTTAATAATATTTTTTCAATGATAACTACATTTTTCTCCTTAATAATTAAATTTTTAAATATTTTAAATTATATTTTTTATTTAATATTATTTAATTAATAAACAAATAAATATTAAAATTTATCCGATCTCTGCCCTGTATTTGACAGTTAATTTTATTGTTTGTATATGCACATAGTTTTCAATAGTATATCATCTAAGGAAAGAGGACATACATATGTATATAGTAAAATAGTATATTTTACGTATCTGCGAATATGAAGGCGAATTCTAAAACTAATATCTAAAGAGACAATATGGACACAAGTATCAACGTAACAAAAACAGCTGTATTTGATATATATTATTAAACTTGTCTATCAAAATCTGTAGTTAACTTGATTGATGTGTTGTGAATCAATGACATGTTTTTATAAATGATACATAGTATGTTTGACCTTATTGTGTTAAATTTGACACGATCTGTTTAAAAACATGATTGAATACTTTTTTTATGAAAATACTGGATTGTTTACAATTTTAATATTTATACTGATTGCATAAAATTGCTTAAATTATGTAAATTTAATAGATATTAGATTCTTTAAACGTATTATTACGTTTTTAATTAAATTTCACCTGCTGCATAAGTAGTACAAACAAGAAATGTAAATTTTTCCATTTATCTGGGCCAATCTTGGAAATTTAAGTTTGCAAATTTCAATTTCCATTGTAAAAATTTGCCATCTATTTATGTTTATAACGAAAGAAATTTTGGATAATCTAAAAGAATTTTTAAAGTTTTTATTTAATTTGAATACACAAGTTCTATATTCAACTTAAACGGTTTGTCGAAATACAGATTTTGCATATTAAATTCATTCAGATTTTAACGCCTTATTACACCCACAATTGTTAGTTTATATAAACTAACAATTGTGGGTGTAATAAGGCGTTAAAATCTGAATGAATTTGGTATGCAAAATCTGTATTATAAAAATACATTTTTACATGCCTCCAACTCTCTTGTCCTGAAATAGTTTTATGAAAACATATAATGGTTCATAAATTAAAAAAAAAAGTAGCAGAAAATGTAAATAAACTAACTAACAACAATAACAAACACCACAAAATTTTAACATTAGGTCGTTTTAATATGGTTTTGCTTTCTTTAGGTTTATTTTTATTATCTGTTTTAGTAGAAAAAAACGGAGTTATACCTATACGATATTTTATTCTAAAGTGAAATACGATATACCTATAATAAAAAAACAATTTTGGAAAAGTAACCAAGGCTATGTTATGTATCGCCCTTAGGTTTTTCTTAAAAGAAAATCAGTGGGTTTTTATTGAAATAAAAAAATATCGTATAAATTGAAATGTCTTCTAAAAAAGTGTAGAAATTTTTGCTACTAATTTTTCATGAAACATCATTTACTGTATTTAAGTGTCGATTTTGTTTGTGATAATATTTTGGTTTTTATTTTATAACACATGTGTTTGGTTAAAATTAACATATATTTTTTTACTGCAGTAAAAAATATATGTTAATTTTCATCACTCTCTAAAAATGAATTAGTCAAAAATTACTAGTTAGTACAGTTATTAGTGGCTGCTTTATCACTTATACTATGGTATCCCCAACAATAATTGTTAGAATTAGCTATTAATTATTAATAGCTAATTCTGATGTAAAATTGTCCCCTGAATCCTAAAATACCGTCAAAAATTATGAAAGTAAAGCAGTTTTTGAGATATAGTTAATTCCATATTATATGGAAAATTGACTATATCTCAAAAACTGTTCTACTTTTATAACTTTTGACAATATTTCCGGATTCAGGGAACAATTTTACATGGAGATTGACTGCTAAAGGTTTGGGATACAAATTGCTATTGACGAAAATTATTAGTGGCTGCTTTTTCGCTATGATAATTAGTCATTTTTAAAGAGCAGATTTTATGTTAATCCAGGTCCACATAACTTTATATTAGGTTTACAACCAACTTTAATCTCTTAACTAATTGAATAAGTAGTTTGTAATTCACGGCGGTACTCAAGGGGAATAGGTTGACCAAAAATGTAGCCAAAAACTATTTACTACGTCTAATTGTACTCCACAGGCTCTCTAAAACCATTTTTAGGTAAATTGCAGCTGATCGAAAACTTGATTTTTTTTAGTTTTTAGAGAAAATCATGGAATTTTATTAGTTTTTTTTGTTACATTTTTTGTTACATCAAAAATATGTGTAATTTTGGTTACACTCGAACAAAAATCTCATCCTTTGATCTTTTCAATAACATCAGGTAACTACTGAAACATTAATAACATTAGGTACCTAACTACTTTTACAAAACATGAAACATTAATAACTAAACATACAAATGACAAGAAGAAAAATCTACTGCTTTTCTCAAACTCAAACGATTAATTTTATATTTTTTATATTTTTCCAAGGTAAGTTCTATATAAACCAACATTTGAACTGCCATTTCTTGATTCATTAATATTAGAAAAACAGTAGGGAAAACAGACAACAGGATTGTGCTTACTGCAATTGTGGGAAATTCCTTTACCAACTTTTTGCAAGCATTCACCACATGTTCTAAAATTTGCTTTTTTGTTTTTCCATTTAGGATATTTGCGTGTTGGTTTGTGACCTTTAAAACTGGTAATGGTACATAGTCGACGTTCTTGGATGTAGCACAATTTTGTCAAAACCCGGTTCTT